TCATTCTCTGAACAGCAGCATATTAATCTTAAGTATTTATTTTAAAAATTAGTTTTATTTTTTGTGAAATATTTAAGATATTTTAAACAAATTTTGTCATGAATCTTCAATTATTTTTAGAATTTGTAATATGTCAATGATTTTACTGTATATTCAAACTGTTAATGTGTTATTTTATTCAAATAAATTTTGTTAGAATATTTATGTAAACATTACAAAAATAATAATACTAAAACAAGAATAGTAATAAGTCTAAAAATTAACAAGGCCTTCAATAAATTTTAATAAAGTTAAATATACAAGTAACTTTCTATTTAAATATAGATCTTTTTATATTGATGGAGAACTGCTAAGTGATATTTTTATTTATTTAAAACTTATAAATAGTAAAAAAACACTAATAATAAAAGAACAGTCTGATCACAGAAGAATCTGTACAATCATGCCTTAAGATTTCTACTTCCAAAGCATTCTTAAATTATTTTCATAAACCAGTTAATATTAAAAGTAACAGTTTTCATTTTATAAACTAAAGTTTAAATTGTATCCTCTAAATAATTTAACATGTTCATGTCAAAAAAACTAAGGAGTGTAACTTAGTTTTACATATATTTTGGATTAGTTTATTCCATTCCACTTCTAGTTTACCGTAAAGAACTGAATTTTTCAAACATCCTGAAAAACCACAAATGTTTACCCACTTTTGCTCAGTTCTCAAATATAATTATGTACAATTATTATTATAAACTAAATCTAGAAACTATTAAGACTATGATTTGTTTCTATAACAATGTCACAAAGACAATACATGGTTATTTCAACATGTAATTGGGCAATTAGTACATTAAAATCAGGCAGAATACAGATGTGATATATCCAGGACATTAATTATATCAAGTACAGTAAGATTCCGCTTAACACTGCCACGCTTAATGCTAATTCAATATAACACAGTCTGCTTGAAGTCTAAAAAAACAAGCTCAAAATTTACGCCAATTTAAATTATTGCGGCATTTCATTGATTCATATATAATACAATTATTTGCGAACACAAACCAATCAGCAAAAGGTGGCAAAAAGATATACCTTCTTTAAATCTATGTTTGTTTGGTGCAATTTTGGAAAAAAATATATCATCATGGATGCCATAGGCAATATCAACTTTGCTTGGCAAGAATTAACTGATAAATGCACAAATGAAGTGTGGAAGAAGTTATGGCTAAAGGTATCCAAGGATTCTCAATGAGAAGAGCCTATCACTGTATCATTAGGTTGACCAAACACAACCTAATCGATATAGCAGGACTAGGAGATAGACGAGCAGGCTATTTAGGAGTTACCGCAGGTTTCTGGTGAGAGCCTTACCAATGACAACCTTCAAAAACTGCAGAACATGGAATTCACATGGAACTGGAAATAGAGGTTCTGAAAATGAAGAACCCAAAAAATTTTTCTGCAGATTTCCTTAGTAAAAGTTTGGTAAGATAAGCAAAATCATTCATCAAATTGTAGTGAATGATCCAGATTTTGAAAGGAGCCAAAAACAAAACAAGGTGTTTTGGATGCAATCTTCTGCTACCGATATTTGCTTAAGGAAAGAAAAAAGTGACAAATGAAAATTGCAAAAGAACAAGAAAAGTCAGGACTTTCATCACAAAAAAATTAACTTTACATTTCTGTGTGCATATGTTTGTGTTATTTAACATATATTATTATACAAATTAATATAAAAATAACTTAAAATTAAAGTAAAATTTGTTTATTTTTGGTCACGTGTTCCCTATCCCTATTTACTCTATGTTAAAATAACCGCATTTAACGCTATTTCGCTTAGCACTTTGTTGTCTAGGAACATATCCCCCGCATTAAGCGGGGTCTCACTGTATACCAATTATCAAGACCACAATGACTAAGAGGAAACATGATTAATTTTCTAACATTTAAAGAAGACATGCCATAGACAAATATCAACAACACAATTCATTCTAGCCTTTCTTCATTAAATTGTGTGTGTGTGTGTGTGTGTGTATTTCAAGATTAACAATATACAGACTTTATGAAATAGAACTAAATAAACTGATAGTTTGCATCCCATCCACTTATCCACTTCCACAAGACAAAAAGAAACCCCGATTCAGTCTACAGAGTGTTAGTTGTCACATGTTTATCTGAAAGAACAGAACCCAAACTTATGCCTACAATACCAGAGAAATACAACATTACAAAGAACTCAGTTGATGTGAGACACACCATTTCATATCTAGAGATATTCTGCTAATGTAGACAATAGTCTAAAATCTTACAAAAGATTTCTTTAAAGCAATGTTTATCCACAATTTCTATTTATAGAAATAAATATATTTATACATAAAAAATTAATTAGTAAATTACAGTAAAATCAGTACAACATTATGTGGTGAAATAATAATATAATGTGTAACATTATATTTAAGAAAATACTTTCATCCAAAATTACATAGACTCCAGCCTTAACAGATTATGAGCAAATAATTGAACACTGAATACTAACAAGTAAAAATTCAATTTTTACTTGCTATTATTCATTAATTTTAATTAGTTGTTAGTTTTTACTTGTTAAACTTGAAGATCATATAATTTACAGTTTTATAACATTCTGGCAGCTAATCAATTTTCTAAAATATGTTAGTAAGTGATTTTCTTGAACATGAAGATATCTATTAGCCAACAATTTTTTGGACTTCAATCACACTAAATGTATAAAAAGGAAATGAACTGTAACTTTTCAAATTCTTCCTAGAATTATTCTAGTGACCAAACTAATATTTTTTGTATAAATTAGAGTTATTGCTATGAGCTTTTTTTTTGTTCTGTTAATCAATTGACATTTGTATTTCAGTAAGAATTCACCAGGTATCTTATTGAATTCTCATTCATCAGTAAATGTTTTCCACAAAATTCTATTTAGGACCTTCATGAACTCTTGCAACATTGCTCTAATTTATTGTGTGCGCACTTTTTGTCTTGGTATAATGTTTTATCATACCATATTCTATCTTCATTATACAATCTACAGCATGCCAGTGTTTTCTTTTTTTTTACATTTTTCAATAATATTTAACTTAATTTTTAAACTCATCATTTTAATACACTCACTGGACTGAATTAGCATTTTTAAATTATTTTTATTGTAACAAATATTTTCTTTGGGAAACATGATTTTCTAGTAGGAAGAAAACAAGTATAAAAGAGATACAAAATAAAATTTGAAAGTATCTGTTTACAACACAAAAAATATCTGTCACTCTAAAATTAATTTTAAATACTCTTCATCATTTACCAATGATTTTAAGTGTGACAAAAAACAAAACATTCATGTGATTAAGTGACTGTTAAGAAAGTATTGCATGCAGTAAATAGTTCTAGTAACAATAATAAGAAATGCAACTTCATTAGATAGAGACGTGTCAAATCTACAAATTAGTTCAATATAATGTCTCTCTTAAAAATATTTTATATTATTTACTGCATATCAAAGATTTGTAATTTGTTTTGTATTTGTAAATTTACAAAAAAAATTTTATTTGTAAAATTTAAAATGTATTCTATTATGTGTGTGTATATACTGTACATTTATGCAGGGATGCACAACCTTTTCTGAAGAAGGGCCAGGTTAGGATTAAGTTTACTGACTAGGGGCCAGACCATTTTACAACACTCTTTGTTGTCACAAGGAGTCTAATTACTTTAGCTGCAGCCAGTGTTGACAATCATGGGAAGTTTATGGCTTGACGCAATTTGAAATTATTATTAAATCCAAAATTTTTTAGTGCAACCAACTTCCTTTTAGTCATATGACTCTACTTCAACTATTAATTTTCTTGGTCCAATGTAATAATTAAAAATTTTGGTGTGAAAAATTTTTTTCTATTGTTAGTCTATGGAAAGACGTTTACTCACTGGAGCTCTTTCATCCAAGTCTGCTTGTAAACAAACAAACTAAAGTAGCTATATTTTCTGTTTTTTAACTCTAATTTTTCTAATTTTTATGTTGACTAACTATTTAATAAAGCCATTAATGTTTTATCTGAAACATTTAGAGGTAAAATTTCTCTCACGAAACTCACTTTGCTACGTACTAGGCAAAAAAAATTTGTATCAAATTGAATCCATTTTCTTTTTATCTATTAGCTAGATAAGTTTTTCCTCTCCCAAACAGTTTGAACTTTCTAAGTATAGAAAGTTTTCCCTTTCACAAAGTCATTAGCACCCAACTGTTTTATGACTTTCCCTGATGTGAGAAATGGGAGCAGTTGAAGTTCCTCTATTTCAAGCTAACACACTTTCTGGTTTAGATATCAAATATTTTAGGTCTAATACATAGTATTATAACGATTTTTAGAAAAATCAAATAGAATAAGTGATGTTAGAATGTCATTTCTGGTGTTATCAAGAAGTTTTTATTTTGGTGGAAAATTTTCAATTTTATGCTTTAAAAAACTTGCTTATTTGTCTAAATAGCATCAAATAACATAAAAATAAGCGAAAATAGCAATTTTTTAGCATTTGTTTACATTCTAGAATCTGATTGGTATAGTCAAAGGGGACATGGTTTTGGTAGCAATTTTCCCAGGCATCAGATTCTCGGTTACTTTTATTGGATAAAGCCAAGTCTTTCAAGCCAGAAAGTACCAATCTGAGCTTAAAAGGAGTTTAAGTAATAATTTTATCCAATCAAGTGGAAAAGGTTCTCTATAGACATAACATAGGAAGGGTTTGTTTCACTGCATTAAAGTAACAGGACCCATATCACAATGGAGCGAGTAATCCATAGACACACATGAAAGAAGGGATTTGGCCTGTACCTTCTGTGGGCCACATAAACATTGAAAAGGGGCTGTATGTGGCCCCCAGGCTGCAGGTTGTGCATCCCTGATTTATGTACATACTGTACTGTACAGTACATGTGTGTATGTGTGTATAAAGGTAAAATAAACAGTTATAATTAAAAAAAAACTTACCTTGCAAGATCCATTTGCAACATCATTTTTTACAGGAGGCTGATTTTCAACACTGTTGCCAAGAAACTGAATTGAATGATTCAAATATGAACTTTCAAAAAGTCCTATTAAATTAGGTTCTCGATGAAACATCACTTGACTTGGTGTTTGAAATGAACTTGATGCAGAACTTTGAACATTTAGAATGAAATTGGGTAAATATTCTACCCATAAATCTGGAAAATGATTAATAAATTTCTCTAGTTTGTCTTTGTACAGATTTTCAGTTTCACTATCAACAATACTTTTCTCTCCAATAAAAATATAAATGAATGGTTTAGTATCTTCATTTTGGTTATCAAGAAATATCTCAAAATCATTTATTTTGTTAATAAGAAAGTCATCACTCTCATTAATTCTCTGAAGCAATATTTCATTTTCTAATGTAGAATTTAAAGTATTCTCTTGAAGTACTGAATCTGATCCATTTGGAATTGAATTAGTTAAATCTGATACAGATTCTTTATTAGCTTCTTCTACTTCTATTTCTGTAGTTTTGATTTCATCAGGTTTGAAGTCACTTTGTTCTTCAGTTTTTTCAACAGGTGTAATATCTGCTTCATTGGTGTTGCTACTATTGTTGTTGTTGTTGCTGCTGCTGCTATTGTTGTCATTATCACCATTGTCATTGTTGTTGGTGTCACCAGTTTCATTATTGTCACCAATACTACTGTTACTATTATTATTACCATCACCATTTACTTCTACTGGACAGTTTGTTAATTCTTCAGAATTAGGTAAATTTGAACATTCACTGTTAACCTTTGGACTGTGATCAATTTCATTTTGATGCAAATCCACTTCACCACTATTCAAGTCATTTGTCAAGTCATCATTGTTAAATATTTTATTAACTTCTTTTGTTTTCTTAATAAATTCTTTTATTTCATTTTCAAACAGACTAATTATTTCTTCACTATTTTCTAACTCCACTAAACGTATACCAACAGGAAACCCCAAAACTGAGAACTCTTTCAGTAGTATTTTGCTAATTTCTTTGGGATCTAAACTATTTAATTTGTGAAAGCACATCCATTTTGAAAATACATCAACCAATCGAAAAAGATAAACTTTAGTTTCATTATAAGTCAAAGGTCCTACGACTGTAATTTCAACCTGCATTAAAAATAATGAAAACAGTAAGACAGTTATAAAATTTGTTATTTCCAACATTTTTTATGCAATTATTATATTCTAACTAAGAATGTTTAAATTACGTTCCACAGCTGCTAGACATGTATTTTAGACAAATGTATGATTCCGCTGGTGTAACTTATTTTCAGCCTAATTTATAACAAAAATAAAGAAATAATCATTAACAAATTTCATGTCATAGTTACTTTTTGGCATTTTATATTTTATCATTGAAAACAGTAATAGATATCTGGATTCTGCAGTATTTGCAGATTCCCTGACTTTTTCTGCTAAAAATCTTATTCCCTGACTTTCCAGGTCTGTATGGACCCTGATCTTAATCAGATTAGTTTTCTCTAACAAATAAAGAGTATTGTTCAGTTTTCCACAACTTGCCCTCCTCCCATATTCCTATTTTCAGCTAGTCTTTATTTGATGGCTATTGAACCAATTCTTTGTTCTTGTTGTAAAATATTTCTTACATCATTAACTGTTTCAGAATATTGAAGGTGAGACATTATGTTTTCATTAAGTTCGTTATGAATGACAGAGTTTGCTATTTAGAAGTAAATATAATAGGTATCCTGTTTAAAGGGTCTGGGAATTGTAAAAATGTTCATTAAGTACAGGTGTTCTCTATTCAGGAGTGTCTATTAACAGTGGCGGCCTTAGGGGGTTGCGAGCAGGGCAATCGCCCGGGGCCTCGCTCTTGGAGGGGCCTCGCGCAACAACCAAGTAGAAAAAAGTTGATATTTAAAACTTTTTATTTTATCCTTGGCTATTAGTTATAACAATAAAATAAATTTAATTTATAGTACAGTATATATTAATATTAATAAGTGCCTACTATTTCAATTCACATACTTTGCACAAAGGACAAGGGCCTCGCAATGGATAAGGCCGCCGCTGTCTATTAATTAATGGAGGTTTCACTATATTAAGCAATTAGTTTTAGTAGTTAGATTATTTAATGATTATCAGATAAATTGTTGATAAGTTAGTTTTCAAAAACAATAAAACCTGAAACAACATTTACAAACTCAAGATATCTTATTTAAATAATAATCTTAGAAATAAAAATTTATCTACAATTTAGCAAACTTTATTTGCTAGTCAAATATAACATAAATGTCGGTTGTGCAATATTTAAAAACCGTAAAAAGTAACAATCTGTTTTTTAAAACAAAGGTATATAGATCATTTAACAAAAAAAAACAACCATAATACCTTTTTGATAGTTTTTTTATGAGTTAATTGAAAAATGATGTTGTAGCTGATCTGCTAGACTAAGCTACAGCATATATATACAGATATATTACATCAATCCAAGTATTCTGTAAAAAAACCAAAGGAATATTTTGATCATTACTCTCATTAAAATGCAAATGAAGTGATCACAATGGTCACAACAACCATTGTGATCACTTCATTTGTATTTTAGGAAACAGACTATTATCTTTATAATTTTTTTTCTCATTTATTAGATTAAAAATATCATTTATCACCATCCTGTTCAGTAATTCACTATATAATTATTTGTAATTTTTAGCAATTTATAATAAAATGTTTTCAAATTTTTAAAAAGTAATAAACTTACCAGTTTCCAAACTCTATCTAAACATTCATACTGTTGATGTTTTGCTTTAATAGGAAATGATTTATTATCTTCACTACAGTCTGGGCATTGTTTAATAAATTCAACGACATCATTATCAATATTCTTCCAATAATATTTCTTTCTCACATTTAAGCATGTTTCCTTAACATTTAAATGATCATCATTTGAAATGTGACTTTCACAAATTGCAATCTTCTGATTTATCTGCTTTGATAAAACTAAACGTAGCTTTTTACATGAGGGAGGAAATGTTCGATATAAATTGCCTTGAATAACCTGCATATATAAACACATGAAAGAAACAATATAAGTATACAAGTAAGAAACTATTTAAGTAAATTTTTTCGATAGACAAAGATTTTTAAGGATTTATTAAAATAAAAAGAAAAAATTCTTAAAAATTATTTTTTAAGCTATTAATATAAACAAAAAAATATGAAAATTTATATGTCAAAATTTCTCACAGTATATTGAATAGCTTCTTTCAATAGTTCATTCTTTTTGCTTTCAGTTGCATCTGGATAGATACTTCCATGTACTATATAATTAAAAATATCTTGATAAAAACAATTTTCTCTTGCCATCTTTCCTGGAAGAAAATTCCACATTCAGATTAATGATTTACTAAATCTTTTCTGTGCATATTTTAAAATACAGTAGGACAGTGTCATGCAACCACTATATTCCATGACCTGTCGGTAAGCAGAAATTTACATAAAACAACACACTATTATTAAGTATTTCTTATGCTAATATATCTATCATGCATTTTTACTTTCCCTCTGTTATATATAACAGAGGGAAAGTATGGCAATCAGTCAAAAAAATGACCCCTCCAAGATTTTTACATATTTGAACAGGATACCTTGAAACATCAAGAAATGCAAAAACATTCAGTTTTTTCTGTATGTATAGATGTTAATGTGTGCAGCACAATTTTGTTTATTCCCTTTGAAGCTTAATAACTCCTGTGCTATCGAAAATTTCTGAAATTTTGAAGGGAGGTTTGTTTATTAGGGGAATTGATGCTGTTAAATTTTGGTGGTTACAGATGGACTTAATGACGATTTTACTCATTAATTTCTTATGAAACTCATCCCTATATTCAAAATTAAGCTTTTTGCCATTTTATAATAGTTAAAAATATAAAAAGTTTTTCATAAAATATGATAACAAATGGCACCACCAAATGTTGCCAGGAAAGTTAAGCAATTCATTGCTGGAATTTTTTAAGATCAGAGTAGATTGTCAGCATAGCCTGCACTAACTATTACTACATCTAATGTCAATAAGCCACTAATTGTTTTATTGCATGGTAAATGAAAACTTTCTTCCTGATTTTAAGTTGGTTAAATTACAATGTTATTATTTTATTGTACTTAGAATAATGCTTTCTGTAACATTTAATTAACAAATAGTTTTGTTACATCTGATTAATTTTATTTTTTAGTTGCAGTTTAACCAGCATGTCAGTAACCCCTGAAAGTAATGGATGGTGTGTATTGTGCCTTTCTGGGCAACAAAAAAAAAAAAAAAAACTTAGTGATTTCAATCATAGCTTACAGCAGGGGTCACCAAACTTTTTTTGATCATCGACCCCTACAACTTTTCAAAACCTCACATTGACCCCACCAAAAAGTTTGTTTTACAAGCAAATAAAAACTCTTACTATTTTAATACATTTCTTTTAATTTTACATTTTTTATATTTATTGTAAATATGTGAAATAGTAAAATTAAATGAACAGTGGCTTAAAAATGGCTGTAGAGGTGCCAATAACGTCAGTACTGCGAATCAGACACAAGCTTACGAATGCTGTGGATGCTTGACATGTACAGTACTATGTAAGCAAGAATTGGAGCACAGACTCGGCAATTTCTGTCTGTCCTGCGCAACTTGATCTGTAGTCATTTTACATGCTGACAGGTAACTGTACTATTAAATTCAGTGAAATAATATTCAAAAACATAATAATAGGTATAGTTATATTTGTGATTTTTAGTTTTAATTTTTCAATCAACACACCAATAATGTTATATCGACCTCCAGGGGTCGATATCAATCACTTTGGCAACCCCTGGTTTACAGGGTGAAAATAAAATTATTTCATAAACGATGAATAAAGTATTTGCTTTTGGAGAGAAACTAAGCATTTATTACACAAAAATACAAAATTAAATACTTCATAGTTTTCCAACTGTAAGAAAGGCTTTACAAGATGGTATTGATATTTCTCCAGAAAACTATAAGATCATGTTAAATTATTTGATTGCCTTATTCAAGGAATTTAAGAGCAGATATCAAGTTTTAAGAAATGTAAAGAATTATCAGTCGCCCTTGTAGTAAATCCCTGGCACATTGAAACCTGTGTAATGTTGCAAATGTATGTGGTTCATGAAGAAAAAGAAAAAAAAACCAAGGTTGAGTATAACTGACTTGGTGTCATTTGTTGCAAACGTAGGAAGATAATTGTCAGTCTGGTGGGCTGATTGCCTACTGCTGTCCAGTTCTATAGTATGAATCAACTTTAATTGTGACTGGAATTTAAAATCAGCACATAACTCACTGCATTACATAACCTGCAATTTACCCCTCCAAAAAATTATGGTATTTAGAATTATCAAATACTATAACTATATTTAATTCAATAAGTCAGAAAATACAAAAGTTTCATATTAAAAACATTAGTTGCTAATTATTAATACAGTAGAGCATTTATTCGAAAGTCAGTTATCCGAAACAATTCCAGTTGGCAAATTTAAATTTTTGCTAATGCTGTGGCACTGCAATCTTTGGCTATGTCTTGGGCTACTCCTATTTTTTTTTTTGGCGTGTGTTTTTTTGCTGGCAGCACTGTCACTTTTGTATGGTGTTTTTCTGAGGACTGTGTCATACTGAATCAAGCATTTTTGATACTAGATTAACTTCTAAAGTATTTTTTTTTTGTTTTTATATTTTTCAATAAATTTATTTTGTTTATACAAAATAAAGAAATAATTTTTAACAATACAATAGCCACGATTATTATTTTAAAAAGTTTACATTATGCTTAACATCGACGAAAATTCAACGCGAAGCGACATGCAATGGAGAAAAATTTCAGCATGGGATAGGTTAATATATTTTTTCGCACATAATTGGTTATCCGAAAAATAAGTTATCCGAACAACCTCAGTCCCCAATTAATTCGGATAAACGATGCTCTACTGTACAATACACAATGGTGAGATTGCTTACTTTTAATACAAAATTTCATAACTAATTAATCTATTTTCACAACAGCTTAAAAATTTAGTTCTATTTATTGACATTTAGAATAATAATAAAAATGTTTGCATTTGACACTTCTGATATAACAACAGATTTTCAATAAAATCACAATGCAAAAATATGAATGTATCAAACAAAATGATAATAATTGAAATTGTACGGTCCTGAGACAGATGGTAAAGCAGATGGTTGTGTATGTCTCTGGTTTATTTATATATGATTGTTCCATTTTAAAATTTTATAATTTAAAATATTCCTGTCTTCAATAATTAATAATTTAGTATCAAAAGTAAAAAACAACCATTTAACATGACAAAAATTTTATAAAAACCATTAGTTTTATTATTAGATTAAGACTTATTGATTTACTGACATACTGACACAGTTTTGTTTCTATATTTGCAGTTCTCAGAAATTATTGAATTCTAAATGAATAATGAAACAATACATGCAAATTTAAATAGCATTATATGCTATCTAAACTTGCATATGTTTGTATATAAAATAGAAATATATGAAGTAGTAATTATGAGGTGTAACAATTCATGAAGCTTTATTACTTCGTACATTGTAATCTATAGCAAGCATGGGCAACTAATACATTTTGAGAACTGTATACAACTAATCAATATTAATAAAAGGCGACGATGATAATAGAATTAGATGTATATTAGCAGAGATACCTGGTGTTGCTTGAGAAAATCTGATATTGCATCTTTAACACTGTAGAAGATTTTAAAATATATTATTTACATTCAAAAACAGTTTACATTACATAGCAAATTGGTATACAATGATTTTAGTTTCCAAATAAGGTAAAACAATCTTGTCAAATATAGCTCATTATTTGACAGGTAACAATGGCAAATGAACTTTTAAGTTAAAAATTTCATCATATTTCTAGAGCTGAAAACCAGCATGTTCACTTACAGAATGATTTATCTGCTGTTTGCTCAACAACTGTTTATTCTCAGAAATGCAAAAGTACCAAATAATCCAAAAAGTAAATTTCTATGATATTGCAAAAGCTAGGTATCAACTTGAAAATTGATCTAGGAATTTCAATTAAAAATCTAGTGACAACATAAAATAACTCTTGATAACCTCTAGGTACATGACCTGATGTTTAATAATGCTCTAATACTACAGAACGCCACAAATTTTATTAAGTTAGATGCATAGGTTGTCTTGCTGTAGATCAGAAATGGGTAACCTTTTTCTATGCAAGGGCCGATACAAGAGAAAAAGAGGAAAAAAAGTCAGTAAATCAATTATTTATTCATATACAGTAACCCCCATATAACACGGCACTTCTATAGCACGAATTCACTCTAACACAGTTCGAGAATTGGGTAAAACCCTCGCACAACATGAAATGTAATAAATTTTTACATACTTAAGTAATAATAGTTCACGAAAATAATAATTTTCGTGAACTATTAGTACTTAAGTATGTAAATTTTCTCTTCTCGCCTTCTGTCGATACACGTGGTCCTTCTCGAAACTTGTTTCAATGTTGCCAGATCGCGACGCTTCTGCTTCTGATGTTGCCGAATGTTTTTCCCTTATTCCATACTTGCTTTATTCTTCATAAGTGCTTAGCACCATATAAGGAAATTTATAAAGACCTTTTAACTAGAAGCAAGCAATCTAAAATTACATACATTTTGCAAAAGGTAAAGCATGGATCTGAAGATAATGCAGAAAAATGCTCAGAGGATAAGGATAACTTGCCAAAAAGAAAACGCTCTCGATTAATTAATAGTGTTTTTAGTGATGACGAAGAAAACATTGTTTAATTTATATTAATATGTATCACTTAAGAAAATTTTAATAAAGATATTTATCTTAATTATGAAAATATACTAGCATGATTTTTAATTTTTGGAACCTAACCCTCTTTTTCGTATTAGTTCTTTGTTTCGTATAACACGGCAATTTTTTGGAATGTAACTACAGTGTTATACGGGGGTTACCTGTATAATTATAAATTAGCATAGGTATACTTAATTTAGCTTCTGGAACTGATGTAAATGTAATATATTGGAAATATTTGGTTAAATATTAGTCACTGCTAGCTTTAAATTATTTTCGATGTGTCTGTTAGCCAGTTTTTGTTTTAATTTTTACTAAATTCATTGTGGAAAAACTATTAACATACATAAGTTATAAAAAATAACATTTGAATTTCTGCTGCATACTTCCTTAAGCTGGAAAATTGATATATTTATTCATATTTTACATAGGTCACAAAAAATATTGCTGCGGGCCGTGGGTTGCCCATCCTGCTGTTGACAGAGAACAGATTTTTTCAGACAA